CCCTGCCATGACGCTGCAGCCGTGCCGGGCGGTGAGGAGGAGTGGGAGCAGAGGAGGCTCTGAGGTGACAAGGCAGCCGGCTGTGCGGGGCTGCTTTTACATGCTGGGCTGGGGCACTCCTCCCTGTGGGGCGGATGCCTTTGGGATGACTGAGTGGCTCCAAGCTGTGCGTGAGCGATGCCGCCCTGCTCCACTCCCTACCTGGTAATTAAGCATGGCCATGCTACGGGCTCCCATCCAGCCAGGCCCAGGACGGGGGCCACTGCAGGCAGTGTGGGCAGGGGGCACCGTCATGACCCGGTGCACCCAAAGCAGCGGAGCAGAGACTGGGGGGGGCTGTGAATCCTTTGGTGCCCAGTGGCTGGTACCCTGGTGTGGGCACTGGCGGGATGAGTGTGGCCGGTGGGAAAAGGCTGCCTGGGACCCTGCGGGAGCAGCCCAAGCGTGGCCGAGCACCGCAGCTGCATGAAAGTGCCAGTTTGGCCCCACGCAGGTCCTGAAAGGATTTTGGTCTTGGGGCAGGACTCAGGGTAGTTGGAAGAGCTTAAAGGTGTGGTTTGATCAAGGGCTTAAGCTCCTGCAGATCCCTCCTCCGGTCCTGCCCCCTCAGTGAGCAGGCATGGGGATGCCGTAGCCATGTGGGGACTGTGGCACCCACCAAGCCCATGCTGGTGCTGGTGGCACTGCTCAAACACAGTGCAGAGGCCTGGCTGGTGCTCCAGGCCACGGCTCACTGTATGGGGACATGGTGGCATGGCAGCAGCAGGGGCAGCACACCCTGGGCTGTGCTCAGCACAGCAGAGACATACAGTGTGGTTGGAGGAGGCTGGACAGCCAGAGAGGAAGAGAGGGGCCAAAACCTGCTGGGAACTGAGGGCAGGAGCTGGGGATAGGGATGCTCTGCAGCTGATGGAGGAGTTGGGGACCGGAATGCTCAGCGGTGGATGGAGGAGTTGGAACAGGGAAGTGCGGCAGCAGGCATTGGGAGGGCCACACTGGGGATGCTCAGCCCCATGGGAAGTCCCAGCCATGGGCACGCTCCATGCCCATGTCCCCTAGAGGGGCTGAGCTGGCTGAGCCCCCACACTGGGCTGCTCTGGTGCTGTAGGCCAGGGCCCACGTCTGGCTCACCTGTGCAATGCCCTGCGGCACAGCTCGGCCATGCTGGTGCTTTCCAGACCACAACTGCCCCAGCCAGCTCGGCAGCACCGCCCAGCGGGTTCCAAACACTCCCGGGGGCCAAGAGCTGCTCCATTTACTGTCCCCAAGCTGAGCTCACTGCTGCCAGTTAACCCTTACTGGCCCCGTGCTGGGAATTGGGGCTGAGCCCAGCACGTGCTTTGGCGCGTCTGTGATTTCAGGGCCCCTGTGCGCAGC